GCATGATATAACTCATGTTGGTTGTGAGTCCAGTGTTAATGAATCAACTATATATTGAATAAGATCACTTTAAACAGAATCACACATAAAACAAGATGGCAAAAATGTGTCCGTAGGCTTGCAGGAACCCAGCCTGGTTCGGTATTTGCTAATTCAATATTGGAGGCAACTTTATAGGACATAGCTACCAGGAATAACAAGAACCAACTGTATTCAGGCTAAGGAGTATGTAAATGAAGCAATATGTAAATGAGTGGGTGTGTCAGTGTTCCACTAAAGCTTTATCTGCAAGAACAGGCATTAGACCATTTGGCCACAGGGCTTAGTTGCCAACTCCTGGTCTAGAGTACCGGTCTGTGGTGGTTCTGCCAGATTCCCTTCCTCTGTGGCTCCACCATCTCTCAGGATCTTGTCACCTTATCAGTGGAACCAGGGCGTATCCCACTGATGTGTCCACTGGCAGAGAAAGAGGAGAATGGAGGAAGCACACCCACCGTCATGGGCCCAAACTGCCCACTTTCCATTGGAAAGAACTAAGACCCCACCTGAGTGCATGGGGACCAGGGAAACGCGTTCACCAGTCAGGAGGCCACATAGCCAGCTACTGTTTGCTTACTATGGAAGAAGAGACCAGTGTGTTTTCACAGACAGCCTGTAATCTCACTGCAGATGGCACCTCACCTCACAGTGTGGTTGTGAAGATTAAATGAGACATTGTGTTAAGTGCCCAGCACGTGCCTGGCACGGGATTGGTAATCAATACACGGTAGCTCCAGCCTTTGTATTTCTTTTGCATCCTTCCACCATGGCTAAGTCGAACTCATTCTTGGGGATTTGTTCCCTTGTCTATAACATGAAGGATTTGAATTTCACCAGGGGTTACAAACTCCTTGACTATGGACCAAATACAGATCACAGATGTCTTCTGTTTGGCTGACACAGATTTTTAAGTTTTTATTTTTATTTATTTTTTTGAGACAGGGTCTTGCTCTGTCACCCAGGCTGGAGTGCAGTGGCGTGATCTCAGCTCACTGCAGCCTCCGCCTCCCGGGTTCAAGCAATTCTCGTGCCTTAGCCTCCCGAGAAGCTGAGACTACAGGCGTGCATCACCACGCCCAGCTAAGTTTTGTATTTTTAGTAGACATGGAGTTTCACCGTATTGGCCAGGCTGGTCTCGAACTCATGACCTCAAGTGATCCGCCTGCCTTAGCCTCCCAAAGTGCTGGGATTACAGGCGTGAGCCACCACACCCAGCTGGATTTTTAAGTTTTTAAACTTGGTGGAGCATGTATTCTCCAAGTGCCTTATACTGGGGCAGATTCCATTGTTTTACCCTCTCCATACCACTGTAGATATTTACATTTGCTATCTTGGTCCCTAAGTTTACTTTTTGCTTGGATATTAGAAGATTTGACATCTGTAACCGTGTGCCTTGGCAAAAGCCTGACATCTGGCTGGCTGTCTCTCCACCTTGCTTCTCAGTTGCCCCCAGCGGGTCTAAGTATTGAATGTGCACTGATGCTCAGTAGCAGTAGATATTGTCCTCTTATTAAAAGTCTTGTGCTCAGAGCCAATGAAGTGGTGATTTAATCAAAAATGTTTGTTAATCTGACGAGTGCAATAAAACCCCCACAAGTGAGTGATCTCAGCACCTGCAAACAGTCTCCACTTGTAATGAAGCAATTACCAAGCAGGCAGCACTCACCCGTGGGGCTGGCTCAGGC